GATATTATTAACTAGCACTGATGGTTGATACGGGTTGCTGCCAGTATCCAAGGTAGTTGAAGTAAAATCATAAGCACCACCAGTGTTTCACTTAGTGACTGCTTCACTTAATGTTTAGCAGTCACTGTTGTCTATTCCAATTGTGGTCGCTAAACAAAGACTATTTGTAGTATGACAAAGGAATTAACTCAGATCCTACTGAACTATATTGGGAAGAAGGCTCCTTCTTTAATACTTAAAGTATTTAAACCAAATAATACAATGTTTTATACAAATCTGATATTTGATCATCTGAGACAAGATAACAAGCTTGTTATTTCATGTAGATAAAAATAAATTATTCTGGTGGTATTCAACTAAAACTGAGGATATGTGCATGCATATGTATATCTGTGCTTCCATTATGCAGCTTATTACAGGGTAAGCAGCTTTCTAAAATGTAAAAGAATTTCTGCTCAGAGTGATTTAGAATATAACAACATAATGAATTGGTAATGAGCCATCTATCAAGCAACGGAAGGTTTACTCAAGCCTTGAAAGCACTGTTTCATGCAACTTGAAAACACTTGATACGAGATTCCCCTTGCTAATTCTTTGCCTTTCAAAGGACTCTATTATAACATTGGGAATGTATAACAAGCCAAAGATCAAATGTTTGGGGGGAAAAAAATCAGTTTTGCTAAAGCACGTTCTTGAAGCCACAGCTTTCTTAGAAAAAAGCCTGCACAAATTATTTTTAGATCCCATAAGCACATATTTATGCTTTCAAGATGAAAGCATACGCTTCACTGGAAAGAACAGAGATAATTTAACTGGGCTATGAGGCAGGCATCAATGAAACAAATACAGAAATGGACATATACTTTGTTTCAGGGGTGGAAAGGGTGCAAAAACAACTTTCCTCACTTAAAATCAACCTGCTTAATTCTGAAAAATAATTTTGCCAAGATTCACTCATGTATCCCTGGCAGAACTCACACTGAATATTACACCCATCCAAAATATTTGTGGCAGAAAGATCCAGGGAGTTAGGCCTTTGTGCTCTTTTAGTGTGGCTCGGTCCAGAAGTTGGTGCCGTTCTCTCGCTGCTTTGGATGGAAACACTTTGCTCTAGACACAGGTTACTGTTGTTGTTGTTGGTATTTGTCCGGCCATTATCCAGCGCCCGTTCTCTTCTATCTACCAGTCGATCGAGGATGCCCTCGTCGTGGCTCACTTGCTGCTCCCTTCTTAATAATGGCTCATGTTCGTCAGGACTTGAATTGATATTCAGACGACTATCTTCTCCGCTGAACTGATGTTGCAACATTTCNGAGGAAGGAGGGAGGGAGGGAGCTTCTTAACTGGCGCCCTCAGGGAAGCGCGGCTCTGTTCCTCGTTCCAAGAGATGCGCGCAGGAAAAGATCCGCGTTCCTCGCAGCCCCGCGGGCTAAGCTTCCTTCCTTCCCGGCCACTCACGTGGATCCCCGGAACCATCCCAGCCAAAAGTTTCCAGAGCCTAAGCTGGGAACGCTTATAGCTCCTCCTCTCTCCGTCCAGCTCCTCCCATTCTCTAAAGGGCCGAGAGCGTCGTCCAGTCGGGGATCCCCCCTGCTTGCTCCTCCCCGCCCCCCGGGCTGGGATGGTGAGCTGGGCAGCGAATCCATTGCTTCTTTGCCTCAGGCAGCCAGAGAAGGGGGGGGGGAGAGGGAGGGGACGAAGCCCAGGGAGGAGAAGAGGGGAGTGGATCGCCCTTTAAAAGAATAACAGAGTTGGGAGGACCTTGGAGGTCTTCTAGTCCAGTGTTTCTCAACCTTGGCGACTGGGGAATTCTGGGAGTTGAAGTCTACAGGACTTAAAGTCGCCAAGGTTGAGAAACACTGTTCTAGTCCAACCCCGAGTCAGCCAGAGAAAGGGAAGAGAGGGAGGGGAGGAAGCCCAGTTATTGGAGAAGGGAAGGAGGCTGTCTTATTCACTGATCCTAACAGGGCAATCCTCAACTTCCAGCATATCTTCTAAAAACCTCCAGTGATGGAGCACTCACAAGTTCTGCAGGCAAGTCATCCCACCAGTGGTGGGTTCCTACCGGTTTGGACCAGTTCGGCCGAACCGGTAGTGGTTTGGTGGCCTGGGTCGCTGGAATCGGCAGCGGCCCAGGCCTGCCACGCCCACAAACCGGTGCTCCAGGTGGTGCTGTAGGCACCGCCATCTTGTTTTATGGTTCTGGACATGCACAGAACAGTTTTAATTGCACTGCGCACGCTCGTGTGCACAAAGAACAAATGAGCGAACCAGCAGTAGTGCCTGCCGGAATTCATGCCTGCATCCCATTGATTAATTATTCTCACTGACAGGAGATTTCTCTAAAGTTTTAGCTTGGCTCTCTCTTTAATTACCTTCCATCTTCTTTTCCTGCTCTCAGGTGCTTTGGAGAATAGGCCCAACCCTCTCTTCTCTGTGACAGCTCTTCAAATACTGGAAGACGGCTATCCTATCATCCCCAGACCTTCTCTTCATTATACTTCATTATACATTATATCTAATTGCCTCAACTTTCCACCCTACGGTTAGCCTCCATGCCCTTATCATCTTTGTTGCTCTTCTCTGCCCTCTTTCTAGAGTCTTACCATGTTTATTGTATTGTGATGACTAGAAATAAATACAGTATTCAAACTTATCCCTTCAGGTCATCTTGGTTCTATGCCTCTGTTGATGTAACCTAGGACTACATTTCCTTTTTATTTTCTTGGCAGCTGCAGCACACTCTGGCTCATATTTAAGTGGTGACACAACTAGACACATCTAGTTGCTACTGTTGAGTCCAAGTACTACAAGTTCTATATACCGTGCATTTTGTTTTAACAGGTGAAGTGTTTTTGTATTAACATTTTTGTATTAACACGTGAAGTGTTAATACCACTTTATAAGGCCTTGGTAAGGGCACACTTGGAATACTGCATTCAGTTTTGGTCACCACGATGTAGAAAAGATGTGGAACAGAATGCAGAGAAGAGCAACAAAGATGATTAGGGGACTGAAGACTAAAACATATGAAGAACAGTTGCAGGAACTGGGAATGTCTAGTTTAATGAAAAGAATGACTAGGGGAGATATGATAGCAGTGTTCCAATATCTCAGGGGTTGCCACAAAGAAGAGGGAGTCAAACTATTCTCCAGGGCACCTGAGGGCAGGACAAGAAGCAATGGGTGGAAACTAATTAAGGAGAGAAGCAACTTAGAACGGAGGAGGAATTTCCTGACAGTT